GAAAGCCCTGACCGAAACTGCGTAAGTCCGTAAGCAAATATGATTGAGATAATGAGATATGAGTTTGTAAGCATGTAAGTCAAGTCACAAAACCAATTGTCCTAACCTCTCGGTCTACGGTCATTAATGTTTAGCCCTCTAAGGAAAGACATGACTGGGGCTGCGTAAGTTGGCACGTCTGGTTTGGTTGGATATCTGAAATATATCCATTGGCTATGTATCTCATGAAGTCTAGTTTGGTTTACAAAATTTGGTACCTTTAACAGAAAGCAAATAGACTGTGACGACAAATTATTACAATAATTTTAATTTGAGATATCAGCAGGCAGGATCAAACAGAATCAAATAGCTTCCTCTTTTATATAAAATCAGAGGTTTATACAACTGCTCCACACAGGCCAGAAAATGCACCACTGGCCAGATGAGAAAGACTAAGCGATAATTTTGATCTTTGGAAAAAGGCCAAATTTAAAATAATGGGATCTTAAATGTCATGAGAAAATAGATAGTTGCATCGAGTGAATAAAACATTGACGTAAAAAACAAAGATAAATTTTTATCAGTGAAGGTAAAACATTTACTTTCTATATAGTGTAAAATTCGATTTGTTAGAACTGACTTCCAAAAGGTCTTAGCAAGAAATCTAAGAGAAGTCTGGATTCCAATCACATTTTCATATGCATAAAGTCACTATTTTATTTTTTAAAACTTGGTACATGAAAGATTAAATCCCTCGTACTTCCTTTTTAGGAAAGAATAAGTTACATTGGGAGCAATCAAAGATAAAGCTCAGACAAGGTCATTTATTTAAGCCAGGCATGATCGACCAAACAACGAAACTGCACCATAGTTGTTTCTGACATTTTAACTCCTAGAAAAAGACATAACCCTTGAACTATTTACTATAAAGATAAATGATAAACCCAAAGAAAGACCGGATCAATAAAAGAACGATAAAGTCTGAAAATGAACGAGTAGAATAGCAAGTGGAAATAGAATACTTGGGCAGAAATGTACGCTGTCTCTGTGTGCCACGTCAGGAGTAGTGCATAAGACAATTTTCACTAGGGAATAAAGGCTGCAAGATTGTATGTAATAACTGTTTATATTGGACTATTTTAGGAAAAACTGATCGAAAACATGATTCAATTAAGCACGCCAATTAAGTCAATAGTTGATCAAATAAGAAGATATTTGACTGTGAATATAATTAAGTCCGCCAGTGTTACCAATCATAGCAAAAAACTGCCCTTACACTTACCTCCATATTCATTGGCAGCAAAGTAGCTAAGATGATAGTCGGTCAGAATG